TGTAATCCATTTCCACTCCTGCAGCTCTCAACCCCCCATCTCACACACACACACACACACACACACACACACACACACACACACACACAACCTCAGTCCCTCCATGCTCCCCTGCCCCGGGCTGTCCCTTTAATTTCTAGGGGTTTACCCTTGCTGACTGCAGGGAAACAAAGACTGACAAAATAAGCAAGCCTGGGGGAAGTTACAGAGTGACAATGTGCTCATGGTAGGTTTTAAAATAGAAATAGTTTAGCTTCCCCTTCCTAGGCTCTCTGGCCAGTCCCGGGAAGCTCAATGGCTGCTGTAGACTCGGTCTCGCGTCTTGGGATGGAACTCACCGTGGCTCCTCTCTGTATTCTTCCAGCAATTCCTGCCTCTGTTCTAACCTCCCTGCAACTCATAGGTACCACTGTAGAAAGCCAGGGCAGGGGAGGGTTTGGGAGAAATGGCGCTCCCACAGGGAGCGGAGTTGTGGTGAGCTCATTGTCCTCTAAAGGAGATCCCAGCCTGCATCTCCAATCCCCGTGTCTCTTGCTTATGCAGGAACAGGGAACTTGCCATTATGTCTTGATGGGTCATGGTAGGGTCAAGTGTGGATCCAGCATCTTCTGGATTGACTTACTTTAGAAAGGAGTGTTCCAGTGCAATCCCACAGAAGAATGTTCCAGCATAAATGCCCCTTCTCTGCAGCCCCCGCCTGAGCGTGGCCCGAAGAGACCAGAACTGACCCCTTGCCTCTCTCTCCTTTTCCAGCTGGGCTGTGTCTGAACTGCTGGAGCCTGCAGGAGCTGGTCAGCAGGGACCCGGGCCACTTCCTCATCCTCCTTGAGCAGATCCTGCAGAAGACCCGAGAGGTGAGGGAGAGTCAGGAATGGAAGGGCAGAGTTGGGGTTGGCCCCATAGAGTGGAGAAATAGGTCCCAAAGAACATCATTCCCAGAGGCCTGGAGCCCTAGAGGGGCTTGGCAAAGGCCCTGGGAACCTGTGGGTTCTGTGTTTCGGCAATGCTTGCGCATGAGGGGTTTCTAGGTAGGAATGCACTCAGTAAGAACACATCATACATGAGCCAGGGTCCTGTGTTCAGCCACAGACATGACTTGTAAGTCCAGGTATTGACCAGGAAGGGAGAAGACACTTTACCCGATTCCCTTCCTCAAAAAGATCCATAAAAACAAAGACATGAAAGGGAAAACTGATCGAAAAGGTAAACTGAGGCCCCCTCTCATAGTTTCATCAATGGCTTTTATGACAATGAAGAGGGATGTGTTTAGTGTTGAGCTGGGCTTGGGTTCCAGAATAGCTGTGAGTCCCAAAAGAGAATTTGGACTTTTTAATAGGAATTCTCTTTTATGGGGTGTGTGTGGGTGTGTGGGTGTGTGTGTGTGTGTGGGTGTTATTTTAAATACATGACTGAGTTGGAAAACACGTTACTTTCACTCTCAGTTACCTCTCCCTGTAAGAAGATGCCCAAGGTTACACCACTATTTACCTGGTACTTTTTTACCCTCATCATAAGCCACCCAGCTTGGAACAGCTGAACCACCTCGGAAATGCGTAACATATAAACCAAAATGGAAAGTTTGGCCCACCGTGGAGCAATATGGGAGGGTTTCATAGAAAGGTCTGACCCCATGAGGCATGGTAGACACATTGTCTATTAAGGGTAAAGAGAAAGAGAATTCTGAATTTGAGCCTACTGAGGTCATCCAGCACAGAAGACATGATGGGGCTTTCTCTGTGTCTCCAGCTCCCACGAGTTCCAAAATGGGCCGAGAAACCTTCGGCATTTTGACGAATGAATTCTAAATCATGTGCTGTGCACACGTGTGCATGTGGTGTGGTAGGTTGTATCAGAGAGGCAGTCCACAAAAGGATAAATAGAATTTGTAAACAAATATGAAGAATGATAATGAAATAAATGCAAATTAAAACCATGATGAGACGAATTTTGCCTAACAAATTAGCAAGGAAAAAAAAAAAAAAAATCCCATCAAAAAGTGAGCAAAGGACATGAATAGACAATTCTCTAAAGAAGATATACAAACAGCCAACAAAAAAAAAAAAAAAAGGTCAGGCCAGGTACAGTGGCTTGTGCCTGTAATCCCAGCACTTTGAGAGACTCAGGTGGGAGAAATGCTTGAACCCAGGAGTTCAAGACCAGCCTGGGCAACATAGCAAGACCTCATCTCTACAAAGAATACAAAAAGTCGCCAGCTGTGGTGGTGCGCACCTGTAATATCAGCTACATGGGAGGAAGGGAGGAGTGCTTGGGCCCAGGAGGTCAAGGCTGTAGTGAGCCAAGATTGTGCCACTGCACTCCAGCCTGTGTGATAGAGCAAGACCCTCTCTCTCTCTATCTCTCTCTCTGTCTCTCTGTTTTTGTTATGTGTTGTTTTGTTTTTAAGATAAAAACCAATGCAGGAAGAGCATGGTGAAACTGGTACTTTTATATACATAAAATATTATAAATGGCAAAATCCTTTTGGAAAGCAATATGACAATATGTCTTAAAGGTCATAAAGGTCTATAAATATGTTGATAATCTTTGATTCGTTGACTCCACTTCTTGAACTCTTTTCTAGATAAATAATCCAAATTATAGAAAAAGGAATATACGTAATGGTGTTCATTGCAAAATATGTAAAATGCCAAGAAAATAATCTTGAATGTCCACAATGAAACTAGTAATTTATGGAGGTCTACCAGATGGAGTATAATGCAGCTAAAAATAATGAATATTATCCAAGGGCATAAACAAAATTTAACATATAATACAATTGCATCAGTAAGATTTATTAAATGGTTTAGGGAAAATTGACTAAACATTTGGAAAAAGATAGAGTGAGATCCCCAACTCACACCATACAGCAGGTGAAATTCTAGTTGCATTAAATATTTCTCTTTTTTTTTTTTTTTTTTCCTTTTGAGAAAGAATCTCAGCCTCCTGAGTAATTGGGATTACAGACGCATACCACCATGCCTGCCTATTTTTTTTATTTTTAGTACAGATGGGATTTTGCCATGTTGGCCAGGCTGGTCTCAAACTCCTGGCCTCAAGTGATCTGCCCTCCTCGGCCTCTCAAAGTATTGGAATTATAGGCATAAGCCATCACACCCAGCGTAAATATTTCAATTTCAGAAAATGAAGCTTCAAAATATATATATATATATATATGAATATTTACATGATCTTTGCATGCAAAAGCAAAAATCCATAGAGGAAAACTTAACACCTGTAATTTCTGTACATGACAAATACCTATAAAATTAAAAGACAGCTAACTGGAAACAAATATTTATAACACAAATAACAGGTAAGTGTATAACCAGAAGGGAGAAAAGGTAGCCTTAGAGACCATGTAGTAAAAAAGAAATTTACTTATACTATTATATGTAAAATACATAGGAGTTAAGTATACACACAGCTTATAGCTTTGCAGACACAGGAATGGAAAACCAAACACAGTATGTTCTCACTCATAAGTGGGAGCTGAACAATGAGAACACATGGACACAGGGAGGGGAACATCACACACTGGGGCCTCTCGGAGGGTGGTGGGCAAGGGGAGGGAGAACATTAGAATAAATACCTAATATATGCAGGGCTTAAAACCTAGATGTCTGGTTGATGGGTGCAGCAAGCCACCATTGGCACGTATGTGTGTACCTATGTAACAAACCTGCACATTCTGTACATGTATCCAAGAACTTAAAGAAAATACATAGGGCAAAAGTGGTGTCAGGAGAGGGACATTGAAACATTAGCTGTGGTTGGGTCTTGGAGGGAAATTTTTGAGTGTTTTCGTTGACATCTACTTTCCAAATGTTTGTCATGTAATTACACCACTTTTCACTTAAAAAAAAAAAAAAAAAAAGAGGCTAGAATGAGAAAGAACTGCTGTATTCTGCCTCAGGGAGCCCCGGACCCCGTGAATGAGTCTCGCTCTCTGTCTCATCCTCTCCACAGGTCCAGGAGAAGGGCACCTACGACCTGCTCACCCCTCTGGCCCTGCTCTTCTATTCCACTGTTCTTTGTGTAAGTCCAGCATGGGCCAAGACACAGGAGGCGAGGGAGGAGGAGGGAGAGCACCCTCTATCTGGGGCAGAACCCTCACACCTCTGGAGATAAGCAGAGAGAGAAACTGTCAAGAACCAGCATGTGAAATGGCTTTCAACACTTAGATGGCTTCAGACCAGCCACCATGAGAGGCTTCCAGTGACTCCATGTGGCCACCATGGTGCCTGGCATTCGTGAGCTCCCATGAAGGAACTGCTGTCACTGTTAACAAGCCACAAGAGATATTCTATGTCCACCTCATTTTTCACCCCGGTGGTCAGTTTCACCCAATGCGATCGCCCCCAGTGGCACCAAATGTGTGCACTGACTGATTCCACCCTCAAAAAATAAACATTTACCTGTAATGAGGCTATTTAAGGAAAGGTGGTTTAGGCATTGAAGACCATTATCTGTAACAAGTGGCAGCAATGACACCATTTACCAGTAAGCGGTCAGCCTTTCAAAGAGGCTCACTCAAACACTGGGTAAAGCAAGTCTCTTCCAGTAGAGACACCCCGGGTGCCATCTTGCCCATCTGTAACTCACCCCTGGTGGGTAACTTTCAGTTCCTCCTGACCTTGTCCTGGGACACACTGCTGCCAGGAAAGGTGTATCTTTTGTGGAATATTCCGGAAAGGGAGCAGAAGCTACTCGGGACTATCTGAGCCTTTTCTTACCTAGATCTTTCTGCTTGTTGCCTGCCTCCATCCTAGACACCACACTTCCCACCAGACTCGGATCTCCTTCTGAAGGCAGCCAGCACCTACCACCGGTTCCTGACCTGGCCTGTTCCTTACTGCAGCATCTGCCAGGAGCTGCTCACCTTCATCGATGCTGAACTCAAGGCCCCGGGTAAGCATGGAGGCAGCTGTCATGGGGGGCAAGGTTCACAAGATGAGAATGCTTCCAGTTCTTCCGAAGCTGTTCTTTGTGACCCTCCTTACCTTGTAACCTTTGGTTCACTTCTGCCTATGCCTTGGTTCACAACCTTGGAGGCTCTTCTTCATGACATTGTCAAGCATCTGATGGTTGAATCTGATGGCTGAAAGTAAATATGGGAGGTAACTTGAGAAGGAATTCTTAGGGGAAGCAGGAGCAGGCACTCAGGGCAAGGAGACCTCGCCACTTGGCCTGTGCCTCTGATCTGGTTGGTCAAGGGGTCTTCAAGTCTGCCCAGGTCAGATAGAGAAGCACCCAGGATGCTGATAAGAGGCCTTTGCATGGTCTCTGTGCCCCAGGAACAAGTAGGGAATTGCGTGCGTGGGTTGATGCAGTTCTGGTCGGGGAAGGTGGTTGGTGCCAGGAATGATGGCCTCTGTGACAAGTGTGGACAAGACCTGGGACAGTTTTCATGTGTGGGATCTGAAAAGCAGGAGTTCTTCAGAAATTGCAGGTGCTGTCATAGACATGAAAATGATGTCTAAGGAAACTGTGATAGTGCAGGAGAAAACATAGTCAAGTGTGATTTACTAAGTGGCTCAGCAAATCAGTACTCAAAGGAATAAAGTCACAAAAACATCTCAATAGATGTCTCTAAAATAGTTCATAAAACCCAACACCATTCCTGATATTCAAAACCCCTCAATATATGGAAATGATTACTCTAGAAGTGCTTTTAATATGGCAGCAGCCCAAGGTAAAATAATAGAGGCATCTTCTTTAGAGTCAATAATCTTCTCCCTTTGGCTTATAGGTTTTTTTGCCTATGCAAAAAGACAAAAATAAGGAATACTTTCTCTTCTGAAGAAGAGAAATTTTAATTTGTTGGAGCTCAAACAGTTGCTTTCCTGGGAAGAATGAGAGAATCCCCTGAACGAAGAATTGTCAGAACTAGAAAATAGGTAGCTAAGAGCTTTTTTTATAAACCAGCATTAACCAGTAAGAAAACATAATGAGAAAACCCAATTTACAACAGTAATTAAAAATAAAAAATAGGCTAGGCGCAGTGGCTCACACCTGTAATCCCAACACTTTGGGAGCCCAAGGCGGGTGGATCATGAAGTCAGGAGATCGAGACCATCCTGGCCAACATGGTGAAACCCCGTCTCTACTAAGATACAAAAAATTATCTGGGTGTGGTGGTGCGCGCCTATAGTCCTAGCTACTCGAGAGGCTGAGGTGGGGGAATTGCTTGACCCTGGGAGGCAGAGGTTGCAGTAAGCTGAGATCCCGCCACTGTACTCCAGCCTGATGACAGAGTGAGACTCCATCTCAATATGAATAAATAAATAAATAATAATAAATAAATTTAAAAAATTTTAATGACCTATGTAGAGAAAACAAACTTTGCTGAAGAATGAATAACTGAAGAATCATATTGCTGGATTGAATCAATATTGTAATGAGACCAAGTGTTAGAAAAATAAACATAACCACAATCAAAATACCAAGATATTTTAAAAAATTTTTAAATATATGTAAATAAACATAATATGTAAACATTTTACATATAAATTTATGTATAAAGAAAATAAATAAAATCTATTTGAAAGATTTATTTATGCACTTAGATATTCATATATTTTTAAAGAAAAGTAAGAAAATATTTCCATTTTTGAAGGTACTATAGGGCTATAGTTATTAAAATAGTACACTATGATTATAAGAGTAGGTAGATAATGGAACAAAATGTAATATCTAGAATCAGATTAAATACACAAAATTGTATTATATGACAAAGTGGCATCCTTAAATTATTGATGAAAAAAATCAGTTATTTCATAAATGATATCAGGATAATTGATAGACCATAAAAAAAATTGTGTTAGAATTCTATCCAAAAAGGCCAGGTGCTGTGGCTCATGCCTGTAATCCTAGTCCTTTGGGAGGCTGAAGCGGGCAGATCACCTGAGATCAGGAGTTGGTGAGGAATGGGGGGCTGTGTTTGCTAAAGCATCAGAAAGAATACCCTTTCACCCAGCAATTCCATTCCTGAATTTTATCCTGATGCCCCACTATGGATGTACAAAGATGTAGCTACAAAGATGTTCATCAATGCATTCTTGCTAATAATCAACCAATACCAAAAAACCTAAATATTGAACGTGGTCGAGTATACTGTGGTGAAGTCATTTGGTGGAATGATATTGAATTATTAAAAAGGATATTGTAGAAATAGGTACTGAGCTCAAAAGATGTTGAGTAACTAGTTGAGTGAAAAAGCACGTGCCCCAATACTATGTATGTTATTTTTGTTTTCTCTCTTTCTAATGTATCCATGCACCAGGCCCTGTTTAGTACCAGCAGCATTTAATTCTCACCTTATACATTAAACACACACAGGACAGAAGTACCACATCTTATTTCCCAACAACTTATGGACCCTAGGAAGGTCAAGGCTGAAGTTTGGCTTGTAAATTTCTTTGGAAAGGTTCATAACTTTCCTACCCAACCAGTCACCAGATCTGTCTATGCCCCACCCAGTCAGCTGACATGTCTGAGCCTCACCCAATCAGCTGATCTGCCTGCCCCCAGTCAGCTGTCTGTCATTGCAAAGAGCAGAGCAGGTATAGCTAGGATTTTGCCAACCCCCAAGTCTACCTATAACAAGGTCCTCACCTCATAGTAGAGACTTGGGTGGAGATTTAGGACATCAGGAAAACCCTTAGGAGGGGCTGGATCCTGAAAGGCGTCTGCCAACTCAGTTTCCCAAGGAAAAGAACAAACCCTAAAGGAACAAGCCAGTTTAAGGTCAAACTCCATTCCCTCCCTCACTCCCTCCCAAAACAAACAGACCTGGATCTCTTCTGAGCTTGCTGGTGACTGGAGTTCCTTTGCTAGGAGGCAATGCTTTCCTTCCTTTCTACAATGCTCAGAGAAAGAATTTAAAATCCAAATGTCCTGGCAGGGCCTTGGGTTTATACCAAAGACCTAAATGATTCTTTTTTTTGTTTTGAAAAGGATAAGGGAGTTATGAGGTTAGGGGAGGGGATTACCTGTGGGGAGACCACTTCCCAATTTCAATAGAACCAGCTGTCTCTCCTCAGCTCAATGCATGCTATGCCTTGAGATATTTTTGCAGGCGGCTGGGTAGAAACTCTGTTCTGGGCAGCCCAGAAAGCAGATGTGGCATAGAGGGGCAGGCAATGGTGAGGCCCAAACCCTGGAATGATAAACTGTGAAGCCTGCAGCTTGTTGAAAATGCTCTCATATGATTTTTAACAGGCATGCGGTAATCTTTTTGCCCAATTCCTGAGTCCCCCCCACCCCCAGTTAAGTGGAGACAGGACTAGAATGGAGGCCAGGGAACTTGAATGCTTGAAGGAGAGGCAGAATAACTTGGTGACTACTAGTCCTTGGGACCAGACCATTGTGCTTTCAAATCCTGGGTCTGCTGCTCACTAACTGTGGGCCTTCAGCAAGACATTTAGCTTGTGAGCTTCAGTTTCCTCAGCTGTAAAATGGGAGTATAGCAATGCCTCCCTGTCAATGCAGTTAGTGAGGATTAATGTTGGCCTAATTGATTTCACAGTGCTGGGGGCACTAAGGGCTGCAGTGGTGTTAGCTTAGAAGGTAGGTCCTGGTAAAGTCACAGGGAGAAATGAGAAGGGACGTGGGGGGAGATCTCCACCATGAAGTCTTAGGGACCCAGTTGCCATGGGAATGAATGAAACAGTTTATTCTGCTTTGATGTGGCTGGGTGGCAGAGGAAGTGGGCCTGTTATCAAGGCTGGGGGCCTCCCCCTGCTTCCTGACTCCACCTCCATAAGATCACCCACTGCCTCAACGCTGGGGGTGGCAGGAAACCTCACGTCAGTGCCACAGGGTCCTGCCCACCACAGCCCTCTTGGGCTCAGCCCACATGTTTATTGAATATTTACTCTATGCCTGCATAGCTGTGCCAACCACAATACTTTCCTGCAAAGAATTTATCTGTCAACCTGGGGGATGACATGGGGCATCTTACGTGCAAACAGCTCTGCAATTTTCAAGGCACACAAACCTCAAGGATTGCATCTCACCTGCAGGGGAAGAAAGAAAAGTCATATTATTCTCATTATAAAATGGGAAATGATTTTGAGAAGATGAAGTTCAGTATTTCTTGTCCAAGCTACAAAGTATAAAAGAGGGAACATGAATGCTAGTATGACAAAAACCTATAGATCGTTGCTTATTAGCTGATGACCTTGGACAAGTTACTTAGGCTCTCTGAGCCTCCCAGTCAAGTAGAATTATACTTATCACTGATGATGATAAGGAGAACAGCAGTGATGCCAGGGTTGCTTAAGGCATATGAAGCACCGTCACAGGTTGGTCCCATCTAACCATCAGAACATCTCCACGGGTAGTTACTTTTTCTTGCCAGGCTGGAGTGCAGTGGTGCAATCTTGGCTCACTGCAACCTCTGCCTCCTGGGTTTAAGCAGTTCTCCTGTCTCAGCCTCTTGAGTAGCTGAGATTACAGGTGCACACCACCACACCCAGCTAATTTTTGTATTTTGAGTAGAGATGATAGGGTTTCAGTATGTTAGCCAGGATGGTCTCAATCTCTTGACCTTGTGATCCGCCCATCTCAGCCTCCCAAAGTGCTGGGATTACAGGCATGAGCCACCACACCTGGCCAAGGGTAGTTACTATTATTTCCATTTTATGGATGCTGAAACTGAAGGCCTGACAGTTAAGTGACTTGCCTATGGTTACACAGCTGACAAGAGTTCTACCACTTGAGCCCACATCTCTTTGATACCAAAAGTCATATTATATCCTTTTCACATTTGCATAAAGCGTGTTCCTACCAAGAGGCACTGACAGATGGCTGCATGACCCTGGGTTGCCCAGGCTGTCTTTTTATAAGCACTCTCCCCGCTTGGGGAATTTCTCCTGCCCCTTTCCCTTTGGGATGCTTAATGGCTTCATACCCTTTGACTTCCTGTCAAATGAGGAACAAACCTGGGTTAGGTCAGTTTTGCCTATCAGCTGGTGGCAGGTGAATTCAGAATGTTCTTCAGTGGTGACACATTTCTCTTGAGACATTACTGATCACAGACACATTTGCATTTTATACTTTTTGTCTCTGGTTATGGAATGAAAGGTTTAGACCTCTTGAAGGACGTCAAACATCACTGACTAGTAGATGGGGGGAGATTTAGGGGAAAGAGTAGAGGGCAGGTGTTCCAGAAATCACAGGGTGCGATCAGTTAGGCCTGAGCTGGCTGCCTGTAGCAGACAGGCCCAAACAACAATGCCTTAATCTCATGGAAGCTAGATTTCTCTTACACACACAACCTCCCACACCCACACCCACACACACAGACACACACCCACACACACACCCACACACACACCCACCGACACACAACACACCCCCACACACACACCCCACACACACTCTCTCTCTCTCTGTCTCGCTAAGACAGCAGGCCAATGTTGGCATGGTGGCCCCATGAACATCCTAGACCAGGCTTCTCTCATCTTTCTGCTTCGCCATCCTTAGCAAGAGGCACCATCTTCAAGGTTGCTTCATGGTCTAGGATGGCTCCTGGAGTGCCAGCCATGATGTCCATATTCCAGTTAACAGAAAGAAGGAAGTGAGCATGGTTGCACAAAAGGGTCCACCTAACACATTCTGCAAGAGAGGTTGAGAAACTGACTTATCAACTGGGTACAATGCCCAGTGTCCCACTCATAAAGGAGTGGATATTGAGTAGATGCCTAGAAGTCTCTGTTGCATACGACTTGTAAGAGTAGCCCATCGGACCTGGCTTGGTTCTGTTAGCGTGACTTTCACCAGCGTGGTGAAAGGGTGGTATGGCAGGTCTCATCTTACTTTGCCCCCCACAAGCCCAGTGGCTCTGCAAAGCTGGAGACCTCATCCAGCAGGCATTTTCATGGGGTCACTGTGCTTGTTCAGAGCAGCATATATCTTGTGGTATCACTGGTCTTTCATTCCAGGAACTCACATCTCCTCTGCCTGCATGAAAGTCTGCCCAGTGGGTTCCTTCTCCCCAGTATTTCCCTCTTGGCTTCCTGGCCACATCCCTTCCACCTTCCATGTCTCTGCTCCTGGACTCCCAGTAGCCAGGAATTTCGAGCCTCCCTTGCTGTGTTCTCTCCTCCTTTTGTTTATTCACCTGAAAGCTGTGCTTCACCTTCCCGCCCAGGCCCTGTTGAGGCCCACAGCCATGAGTTCCCAATTCCTCCAGGCTCTCTGGAGTCCAGGACTCTGGAGATGGGGAGCAGGAAGGAGCTGCACGTGGGTAAGGAGGGAAATGTAAGAGAAACCCGCCGTGGGAAGTGTTGTGCCTTGTGTCTGCTTTGGAGCATGATGTATGTCAGACTCAAACTGTCCACCATGAGTTGATATTTGTCGGGGTCACCACCTGCAGGGGTCTGTCCTATAGACCCTGACTCAACAACAAATGAATAAATCCACACACACAGAATACAGTGAAAGAGTGGGCTGGGGTGTTCATGGCCACTCATAGACATTTGAAGATAGTGATGTAAAGAGATAGCAGCCGCCAGCCACGACACACTGAACTCACCAGCCTTTATTCAGCACACATTAAATGACAAAGGCTTTGAGTCAACACCACTAGAGGGTGAAGGTTAAAGGCCAAGTTCTGAGGCCTAAAGCAAACACCATTAGTGGGTAATATCCCTGGTCGACCTCCCCCCGAGAGCCATCCGGAATGAGTAAGGGTTAGTTTATAGGACCACAAGAGTAAACAAGTTAGTTAGGTAAACTCCTAAAATTCCTTTGTTTCTACTTTAATTTATTTAACTAAGGGGACAAGGCTGCCTTCAGCCAAGTATTATAGTAAAAACCCTTAGGCCTTCCAAAAGGGTTTGTATATATTCTCTATAACTAAGATTCCTTAATCTAATGATTAATTCTATTAATCGTAGATGCTGGAGAACAAACCTGATATAGTCTCATTTGGGGGTTGCAGGGCCATTGGGACTAGGCCCTGCTTCCACCCTGTTGACTCTGTGGAATCTTGGTGTTCCCCTCTAAGAGGAAAGTGTCAGATGTGTTTGCTGCTTGCCTCCCCCAGGCCCAAGTACCCACATCACCCTCGGCATGGACCTGTCCGTCAGTGTGTTGTTAATACCAGTGCTTGCTTGATGGCAGACATAGTGATTTTCATGGGTCCTGGATCTTCACAGTTAGCTGTTCTGTGCAGAATGTCCACCTACTTGCAACTTTGAAAAAAGAGTGGCAGATGTGTTGGGTCTTGGACACCTGGGCCAGGAGTTGGACCTTCACTATGACTGTGCTGCCTGCCCACCCAATTCTTGGCCTGTATGGGGTGACTCTTCTTGATTTCCTACTTGCCAGGGCCTGATGCAGGAACAACCCAGGCAAGGTTTTTGTTTAGCCCTTGGACTAATCTTGACCTAAGAAGCTAAACTCAGAAAGCTGTTCCCATCTCCTAAGGTGACCAAGGAAGGATGTGATCTAAGATGAAAGGGAGAGAAATGTCTGTTGACCCAAGGCTCCCCCATGCAGCTTCCCTGTTTGGGGAGCGGAGGGTAGAGCTAAGGGTCCTGGAACTGATATTGCCTACCCTACTTAGCATTCATGGCCTCCCTGGCATCACCAGGTACCATCGTGAAAACCAAGCCAACGCAGGATTCTAGGAGACATTTCCAACCTCACAGCACACACCAGCAAATGGGGACTTGGCAGTACAATTTCTAAACTAGGCTCAAAGGGGTCTCTCTGTAAAAAAGTTTCTAGGATTAAAGCCACCTTCACATTGCACAGACTTTTCTAATTTGTTCCCAGCTCAGAGGCCAGCCCACCAGTTAATTATCCCCAATCCCCACACGCCATGCTAAGCAGGGGCGTCCATTACCAAGAGAGGCTGAGGAGGGGGTTTGACAGTGTTTTCAGGGCGAGGGCGGGAGTTTATCAGATGATCATAGGCTCCGCTTGGGAACTGTTGGTATCTTGGGTATTCAGCACCAGCCAAGCAACTCTGAAAATAACTCCCTCTGGGTCAGGGTGTGCCAAGAAGCACAGGTACCCTCCTAAATATCCCGTTAAAGCAACAGAATACATAGAACAACGGTCACATGGAGTTCACATAGCTCATACAAAGCAGCTTCTGGTTCCAACCGTAGCACAATTCTAAAATGAGATTAAGGCACATGGATGTAGATGTTAGAAACTGCTCTTCATCCTAGAGATGAGGGGAGATGAAGGAGCTTCGAAAAGAAGGTTGTCAACAGTACTGAGCACTCCAGAACAAAAGTTCAGGCAGCATGATGATGAGGTTGCACCGTTGGGTGTGGGGACTTGGAAAACATTGCCAAGCTTCAGGATAGCAGGGTCAGGAGGGTAGGAGGGTTTGGAAGCCAATGGCTGAGAGTTTTGAAAGAAACCTGATGTAAAGGGAGAGTGATGTCACAGCCCACAGCTTCCTGGAGTGTGACTGCCTGGATGTCCCAGGTCAACAGAGGCAGAAGTGGCAGTGAAGAAATGGGGTTAGCGGGGTCTGGGTTACCTGTTAAAAACATTAAATAGTAAAAGAAAAGAGAAATAAGGTCAAGAGAAGATTTTTGTGTGTCTGTGTGTTTTATGATCAGGGAGTTGGAGGGTATCTGTTTGCCTCTACTATGGTAACTACGGTATCATGTTGGGGTGGTTGGAGAGCAGGTGAGGATCTCTTCTCTATAGTGCATGTGAGTGGCCACCAGATGGTGCTCCAAGTCCTGATGATTACATCAGCCAGTGTCAGGGACTTCCCCAGCAAAATAGACATAACATTCACTTCTAAATATGCGATGATTACATAAACATCACACGAAAGACCAAAAATCAAAGCAATTAGGTCCGAAGTTAGGAGAGCATTATATGGCAATTTTCTGCCTTTGACTGAAGGGACATCACAGTCTTTCTATTTATATCTGTCTTTAAACCCCCAGTTGGGACTTGCACTTCTGAGGGGATGTCCTGGAGGTTCCCAGCTCAGTCCCAGTTCAGGGTGGCCCTGCCCTGGATGGGGACTACCCTGGGCCTATTTCCAAGCTATGACAGGAAGGCAGCCCACTACGCCGAGTCCCCAGCCCCTGCCCTGTGAGGGAGTGAACTCACACTTGCTGTTTCATCTCCTCCTTATGGTGGACATAGAACTGAATAGACAGAGTAAAGCGATGACCGTGCAGAACAGAGTCACATTGCAGAAACCAGAGGAAAACCTTTGGTGTGTTTCTTCTCAGCATTTTGAAGTCAGAGGAGACGGAGGGGGGGAAGGCCCAGGGAGGAAGTGGGTGCAGGCTGGGAGCGGAGCCTGGGATGCAATGCCTCCAAGCAGGGAGGACGCCAGGCAAGACCACAATCCTTGGAAAGGACTTGGGACTCCAGGCAGAGATGGGGAGGTACAGGGGCAGAGGAGGGCACAGAATTCAAAACTTGTTGCCTGGCTAGAGCTGAGGCAAAGTGGATGGGCTGAGAGGTGCCTGGCAGA